TCAGAGGCCATGGATGTTGCAGTTTTTTTTTGAACAACAAAAGTGTTATTAAGGCTGTTACATCACAAGTTTGTTTATAATCTTCCACAATAACTCCTTCAGATACCTCAGTCACCCACAGTCTGGACACACAGGGCAGATGGCATGTAGGAGGAAACAGTGAGGACAAATCTGCTGGGCTCACATAATTATATATGAAGTGGTTTACCCTGATTCCTCAATAAAGCACAGATGAGTCCATTACTTTTTGTGCCACACTGCTCCGACGGTGGGGAATAATGCTTATTATGATAAACAAAGGGATCTTTTAAAAAGATCATGCCACAGCCAACTGCTCTTAGATATTTTTTTATCACTCTGCTGCCTGAACTCTCTTATGTTGTGAAAGTGCTTTTAAGGAAACTGACAAAACGTATTTATGTGGGCTTGAGGAAGTTTCTAACTAATTAGAAATGCTTTTATTCCACATTGCTCTGCCACATTTGACATTTAGTGTTAGAAAGCTGTTGTTTTTGTTGCTTTTTGTGTGTGCCTATGCGCACAAGCATACGTGCACATCCTTGACTTTTCTTTTGGCCCCCCGCCCACGCAGGTGACCAGAGTGGGGCCTTGTGTGGGTGGACAACTCAATGGTGACCCCCAGCCTCCCCCCCCTCTTTCTTCTTACTCTTACTCACCCTCTTTTTTGTTCCTCTCCCCACATCTTTTTTCTTGTCCTGCATCCAGCAGCGTGAGCTTGAAAAATGAGAACAGGGGTCATCTTCTTTACTTTCTTTCTTGAGAAAATGATCTCCAAAAGAACATATAAAGTTTAAATTAGTTTAAGGATGCAATTATATTTAATGTTTAAAGAAGAAACTTTAAAGAAATATACCGGGTGACAGTTATTGATCATTTTGAAAAAGGAAATTTGTTAAACTAGCCCAATCAGCATTCTTTAGATTAAGGTAGAAAATAAAATATGTGTAATGAAAGCTGTTACTCTTGGCGATAAACCCACAAACAAGCAATTCCCCTTGGCTCCGCCAAGCTTTTTAAGTGTCTTTTTGGCGTCATGGTGGTTTTACGCCTGTAGCACTACTATTTCAGTGCACTCTCACAGCTCACAGTAATGTTGTTTCCACTCAAAGAAAGGAAACTCTATTTTTTTAACAGGGATTTTTTTCCAGATCTACATACCTTGCTGTATTTTGCAGCAGAGACAAGATTTAAGAAAGAATTTAAGAGGTAAAAACTCAAATGTAAGTTGTTATGATGAAGAAAATAACAAAAAAGAAGAGGGATTATTGTTAAGGTTGCAGACTTTGCAATCAACTGATTAAATATTATAGTAAGTAAATTAGCAATTTTTCATTGATGAAGTAATTCCATAAACCAAACAAGATACTTTTGATAGATTATCTTCAGTAGTCTAGTTGTTAAAAAAAGAAAAAAAAAGAAAAAAGTGGGATGGTGGAATTTTTTTATTTCTTTTTTTAAGCATTCACAGTCTAATTAATATAGTGTATTAACCTAAAGCAATATGCGTGGTATGGTTGTTACATGTCAGGTACGCAGGTCATTGACCTTCACCAAGGCACCTTCTTGTAGAACTGCAGTCAGTCCCTGGAATGGCATGACTATCACTGCCCCTAAATAGTTAGGGAAAAATGCAAAGAAAAAATTTCCTACTGGGATCAGCTTCATAGTCATGCTAGTCACTTCTTTTATTTTATTTATTTTGCTCAGGCTACTTGCTGAAAGAGCAATATTATTGCCATCACTGTTGATATATACCGGTAGTGGAGATTTTACACATTCATGTCACAGGGGATGGTATGGGGGGATGGTCATTTATGAATGGTGATGCCTTTCCCCCTCATCATCCCTCAACTCGAGTACAGATTATCTTCCTAGAATGTCTTTAAAAAATCTGCTAAATATTTCTAAAAAGAAAGAATGAAAAGTACATGCTAAACAAATTTTAAACTGCAGTTTAAATATAAATGTACAAACATAGAATATAATTATATCCAAAAATTATAAATTTGCGCTGCTTAAGGTGGTCGCACGTTGGAGTAATTCCACTGGCTTGATTTTAATGTTCCTTTTTTTTTAGAGAACTTTAGCTACTGTGTTGTAGATCGGTGTTTTTTTCCTGATTTTTTTTTTTTTTTTTTGCCTCTGGTGTTGTACAGTATGCTGTGAAATTGGAAGGATTTTTCAAATATTCTTTTCCTTTTTGAAAACTTGTTATGATGTGTAACTATGGCAACTATAGCAAGTAGATGTTTAAAAACCTAGGAGTAGGTCAATAACATATAAAGCTGAAATAATAATCAAGGTACTTCCCTAAGAACCAGCTGAATTGACCAAGGGGCTGAGGATGCAGGGAGCAGGAGCAAAGAGAAGAGCAGCATATTTAAGCCGTCGCTTGCATCAATCATTATGGCCGATGTGAGTTCTTTTGGAAACAAGTTAGAATAACTCCAAGCCCTTGCATGGACCCATGCAGAATATTGGGAATGCAGTATTGTGTGTTTTACTGGATCCTGGCTGCAGGCACATATATGGGACTCCAGCTTCTCTATGTCAGACTTTCTGACCACACAAACAGATAGAGATTAAAGAAGACTGGAACGTTCATGGAAGTTGTGTTAGCAGTGCTTGTGAACAACAGATGGCATCATCCATGACATGTCATTACTACAGCATAGATAATGAACTGTTGTCAATTGGTTTTTAGACCTGAATGTGATATAATCAGTTTAATTCCTATTAAGCAGCAAACACAACAGCCAAATGCAATTGTGACAATAACTGGTGATTTTAAACATGCCTTACACTGTGAGGGACTCATACATCTCTATTAACATGCTGCACATCTCTGGTCTGTAATGGTTTCCATTATTGTAAGAATATCCATAGCTGTACATTGGTTATTTATTCTCCAGGTGCACCGTTTTCTTATAGTTTTCAAACACTACAGTAGAGTATTTTATTGTTTATCTTTTAACTCTTCACTAGTACGTTATTCTTATAAATTTTTCTAAGGTCCACATTTGTGTGAACATTTTTTTTTTCTATAATCATTTTGCTGCTGCAAACAGCAGAATTTCCCCATTGTGGACAATAAAGAGATTTTCTATTCTATTCTATTCTATTCTATTCTATTCTATTCTATTCTATTCTATTCTATTCTATTCTATTCTAGTGAAAGACCTCCTTTTGGGAATTTGGATCACAATCTCGTTTTTCTATGCTCAGAGTACAAGACACATTATAAGAGACATTTACATAAAAAAAAATGTAATAACATGGTCACAGGAAATGGAAGAGGCCCTGCAAAGTGGTTTTCTTGGATTTAGCTTCTGTTGCCTTTTTTGCTTCTTCATTAAATGAGCAAAAACTCACCTCTGCCTCCTTCTACTCCACAACCACGTCCACATTCTTTGACAAATATTGAGTTTTGTTTTTATTTTTATTTTTATTTTGACATTGTAGCTTCTTTGACAACTTGAAATAATAAATTCAGGAAAATATTTAAAAAAGCAAGAAATCCAAAGGTGAGCAAAATCTTTTTACATATTTTTGTTCTGGTAGGTTTGGTAAAGAGTCTAATACAGAGGTTAAATAAGATGAAAACACCTTTTCTACAGAGAGAAATGCAGAACAAGCAGGTGATGAAGAACATGCAGAAAACAGTAAGGTGTAAGGGAGGAACACAGAGCTTTAGTTGAAGAATCCAGTATAAAAAAACAACTACTAATGATGAACAAGGGGAGAATGACCCTGAAGAAGGTCAGTAAATTAGAAGATAAGACAGAGGAAGCACACAGAGACAGTGGAAGACAGACTATGACTAATATAATTGAAGAGAAATAATTCTAAATGTTAAAAACAGAAAAAGAACCTAAAAGAAAGAAAATATTATGACAGGAGCTTTAGAAAATCATACAACGCAATTAAAGTCCAAACCTGAAACACAAAGATCATGACAACTGTTGTCGTAAGAGTATTTGCTGACAACAGGATGTGTTTATATCTTAAAGCTGTTCTCTAGTTTGCACCGATAGTGAATGATAAGAGAAGGGGGCTTATTGATGCAACATAACGTGTCTGTTCATTTCTTAATCTTGAGATTATAAGATACTGTAGACCACTTCCATTTCTACTGATACTGTTAGATCAAGATGTGGTAAGGGCTGTATGCAATTTTCCTAGAATCACATTAGGTTAAAAAGCACCTTTTCCCATGGAGGTGGTTTGACAGGACCCAAATGCAGACAAAAAAGCTTAAGGTCACTTGAATGTTTAATTAACGAAAAGGTCAACAAAAGCAAAAATCCAAAAACAGAAATCCACAGAAATCCAAAAATGCTGAAAACCAGGAATACTCACAACAAGAAGGGGACAAGGTAATGACAACAAACCAGCAAAGAGTGACTGAACAGGAGGAGAATTAATGGGAGAGAGAAACAAAGACCAGGCTGATTAGCAGACTGGGAGCAGGTGTGAACAGAGGCAAGAAGGGAGCTATGGAAAAGGAGACTGACACAAGAGGGCAAACAAGAGATATCTGAGAACTAAAATATACAAAAAAATAACTAGACCACAAGAATGAAAAATAAGACCAATGAAACTCAGAGATAAAACTTGAACAAAACCAAAACCATGACAGAATGTCCAAATGAATGGATGTAGTTCTATAATCCTGCAATGAAACATTCAGTCCGAAATAACTAAAAGTGTTAAATCAACGCTTTGAAAAAGTTATTCTTACAAATATTATTCGGGAATCCAAGAATGATCTATGTACTGTTATTCTAGTGAAAACTTATATAGTTTGGTGAAACATGTATACTTGAGATTACGTACCTCATGTTTTGCACTATACAGCTTGTTTGTAATCATAACATAAGATCAGGAGTATCGGCTTCCATGATGCAGCCCTGGGTTTCCTGTTTTCCTTCTGGGTCCTATAAAAGCAGCTCTCTGACTAAAGATACTGTATACACTGAGTGGTTGCATTTTTATTTAGTTCTCTGCTGCCTCTTCATCATGACTCTTAGAAGCATCATGGTTTTCATCATCCCATTTTTCATCATAGTTGGGGTACTGAGCCCAGCTGACTCTGCTGGTAAGTTTATAACATCAGATTTAACTGTACAATTCTGACTGAAATACAGACCACATGCTTTGTGTGTGACCTTTTGATCTGTAGGTATTCGCTTCAGTAAACACTGCTGTAAAAGATATGATGATATAGTGGTCAATATCCGTCACATACGAGGCTACAAGGGGCAAAGTAAACAGGGAGACTGCATCAATGCCATCATGTAAGAGTCTACTCCATAAACACTGTGTGCCTGTATTCATTTTCTGGTAAATATAGCTTTAGATTAAATATGGCATGACATGACTACCATCAATGAAAATCATGGTTTAATTCTAAAAAGTGGCTAAATAAAAAATGTAATAAATAAATAGATAAACAAATAGTTTTTGGAAATTCTGCTTCCAGTCTGTTCCCTTAAATTACTTTTTTATAATTAGTTACTGTCACTAATTTATTATTTATAACCTTGTTTATAAAATAGTTTTTGTTAAGTTAATGGATTATGCATGTATAATAAAATCAGCAGTGTCTCATGTTTGTCTTGAAATGTGTCTATCATAGTTTCCACACCACCAGTAACCACGAAGTCTGTGCAAATCCAGAGGATGAGTGGGTGAAGGACAATCTTAAAAGTCTGGGGTAAAATAATTTTTTTTTGTTTGTAGCATCCTGTATCAGTTTAGCTCCAGAGTACCTAAATGCGCTTGCATAATTGGTTTAATCTTAGGAAAACTGTTGCATATATAAATGATAAATATTTATTTTTGTTTTGTTTTTTGTTTTTCTTTTTAGCTCAAAACAGAAAGCCAAGCGGAACAGCAGGTAAAAAACTGAGAAAACCTAAAAAAATTTCCACACATGGAGGAAGAAGATCTTTCAAAATGACAAAGTAAAAATTTGCTGCAATGGAATTAAGATGTTTTAATCTTCTGTAATCAAATCTTTGAGAATAATCTCTGATTTAAAGGCATTGGGGAAAGTTTGCTATATTGAACTAAAACATCAAAAATAATTATTTCAGCTACTCATTTCACCCAGTGAAATGAATTATACAAATTAATTAAACACAGACCAATGTTTAAACTCACTGACTACTTTTCATTATTATCTATTTCTGTTCAAGATATGTTTAAAAATAAAATAAGATTATTGCTTAAAAACATGTTGGTCTTCTCAAAACTGAGTTAAAAATGTTTGACAAAAAGGTTCTTATGGCAAAAGATTATTTTCAAAGTGTATTGTTCATTTTGAGGATGAGCCTAATCCTACTGTAACTGTTTTATTTTACTTTATTAAATATGGCTGTACTTGCTTTGTACTTTTATAAGCTTTGTTATGTTGACCTATTGTCCCATTTTAGTTTTTAATACCTTGGGACATATAACCTCGTGCATGTCTTTTAAACATTTTTTAATGTATTTTTAATGCTTGCAATATATTATTGAATAACTTGCTAAATATATGAATCATATATCAAGCACATTAAATATGTTTTTAAGGGGTTTGATGCTGTTGGGTGCTTTTATTTAAAGACATTTTCAAAGTTGTTTTGTTTCATTCTCCATTGCATTAAACTGTGACAATTTACTTTGGTAAGTTTTACTGATTCATGTGATTTTGTACTACTCCATTAGTCTTCAATTAGTCATTCAATTAATCTTCTCAATGTTTTGGCATTAATGTTTAAAACAAGTTATCTTTGAAATTTCAAATATTATAGTCAATCTCATTGAATTGTTTCAGTTGAGAATGGCAAACTGTGGTATTCATGGCCCTGCTTTGAAAATCTGGAATTCAAGTAACAAAACATTGTATTTTTCCTGGAGTTGATACCTTTATAAAGTAAGAAAAAGCATTTAGACATAACTTTAAAATGTATCATTAATTTACTTAACCTTGCTGGAAGTGAATTTTTTTTCATTTTCTCATTTATAAGGTTCTTCTTTCTTCTGATCATCCAGAAGGCTTTTTAAATTTTTTTTTTGCCTTTGCTTTCAGCTTCTCCTGCTCCTACACTAGGCAGAGAACGATCAGAGCAGAATGAGGGATATAAATGTTTCCATTGATGTTTGTATCTCACCGCTCATAGTGATTTGGTGTATGGCAATAAAGATGTGCAAGCATTTATTCTTAATTTTATATCAGTAATGTCATTGTAAATGTAAGAAAGAGAAAACACCATATCTGTTTACATTTTTAATACCCAGTTCACATGTTTAAAGTGAGAAAAGAGTTAGAGAACAAGAGGAAGAAATCTTTAATATGACCAAAGCAATAACACTTTCAACTATATAGGACATGTTAATTAGATACATAACTGGGCTACGGTTCAATTTTGGGGAAAAGCTGAGAAAGCTCCACTACTATTCTCTCTTCATCTTTCCTTTAAGGTTTTTTCTTTTTTTTTTTTTTTTTTTTTTTTACTACATGTAAGAAATATAATACTTAAAGGTATAGTGGAGGATTTTTGGGAGTTTTTGAAAAGACCCTCCCTCTCCACTTAAAAAAAAGGCACATGTACCATCCTGTACCCACTCCTGAGAGGGAACGCTTATTAAATGCATCCCAGAGCGTGCACAAGCTAATTTCTCCTCTTCTATGCTCTGTTTAATAGTTGCTGTTTGCATCACTCATACAAGCTTTTACAAAGGAAGATTTGCAATTTTTCCACTATGTCAGACTCACCACCGAGCACGTGGGACC